CTTGTATTAACAGGACAGAAATGGACTTGTTTTAGAATGTTTATGTCAAAACTAGAATAAGATCACATAATATTAATTAATAAGAAATTCATTATGTTACGTAAAAAAATGCCTCTGCTTCTTTCATTCCCTTTTTTTTAGTATCATAATGGAATTATATTGAATTGCTGTTGCCAGAAATAGACTAAATAGAGTGAAATAGTCATGAATAGAAGTCGGGATGTAACAATAACCGAAATATTGTGATCACAATAATATCGTGGACCATCACAATATATCAAATTACAAGTCTCTTTGCTTAAATTAAGAGTTATGGTGCAGCAACAGCTAAAAAAAGACAGAGGGAACTACATAGACCATGATCCTTTGCTCCTTTCAGTGCAGACTACAAAAATAAATAACAGTTCTAAGCACTTTTAAGTTTTAGTTCTTTGGATTAAGTCTTGTCGAGGCATTTTAAGAGGAAAAAGTAGCATATTGTGAACCGTGTGTAACGTGAGATGTATATCGTGTAAACATCGTACTGAGAGATTTGAATATTCTTACATCTTTAATCGTCAGCCTCCCCACCATATCGTGAGCTTTCCCACGATATCGCGATAAATATCGTGCCGTGAAATGTATGTCGTGAAAATGTCGTACCGAGAGACTTGGATATCGTTACACCCCTACATAGAAGCATTGAGTAGACGTCCCTTCACCGAGTTCAAAGCTTGATACCTGCTGGAATAAAGAAGCTGATGAACTTGAACATGATATAATATACAGAAAATAATACTGTTTTTGTTTTTACTGTACATAAAGTAGAAACTGAATCAATACAAAGCAAATCCATGACCCAAACATTGACTATAAGTGTATTAAAGCAGCATATTTCTTGTGAGTTTGCGACGGGCCGTAGTCCAGTCCCTTCCCCTCCTCTGACCCCTCTATCTGACACTGACAGCTTGGCGGGTGGAGCAGGGCCCATGTGACCTCCGCTTTAATCCCTCAGGCAACTCACACAGCTGCGGAGGGGGGGAGACAGAGCCGCTCCTGAGACACGCCATTGTGAAAGGCACGGAGGTTCTCAATGGGACAAATATACCTGTGTTTGGATCTATCTGGATGTGAAGGTTAAAGGGTCTGGGCCTGATGTCAAACCGTGACAAAGCAAAGCAGGTTTATTTGTACAGCACAAGTCATACGCAAAGGGCTTTACAGAATAAGAAAGACATTAAAATCACAATACAAACCAATCAACACATAAATAATCCCCATAAAGCCATGAGTCAGGAACATGTTGTATTTTTTTTTTTTACTTTTAGCCCCGCCCGCTTAGTCCTCTCTGTCACTGTGAGATAAATGCACCGTGACACAGAAACAACTGGGAAAGGGTCAGGCAGTTGTTTCTATATAATTCTCATATCTCTATTACTGTTTGCTTTTTTGTTGCTTTAAAAATTGCACCAAAATTGAGAGTTAAGTGTCTGGGATAGTGTCAGGCAGTCAGTTTCCCATGGTTCTTTGCAACAATGTGCCTGATAAAGTCTCAGTAGCTTCTGTATTAGTTATTACCTGAGAAGATGCTACGTATGATAAAATTTTACTCTTATTTCTTTTTTTTTTCTTTATATAGCTACGAGGGATGGGCATGATTAGTCGATTAATCAGTAATTGATCATTAAGAATGTCATCGATCATGTTCATTTTTAATCGACAAACCAAATGTAGGTTGCTGTGTGTAGCATGAGGAGACAAGGCTGCGTCTGACACAAACACTGGAGTTGTGCCTCATAGTCCCATGTCTGGCTCCTTGGAGACACTGTACCACTCAGTGAGAGTGTTTACAGCACATCAGTGTCCCGGGTATGATCGGGTTTTTGGAGTATCCCGGTTTCGTCATGGTGCATGTAAACGCAGTATCCCAATTACTGCAACATAAAGTTGAGCCACATGTGTCCAAAAGACAAACACTTTTCAGTCTTTTCATCACAACAGGAGCCAAAATAACTAAAGTGACTGACATAAATAAAGTGAAATTATTAAATAAAGAGCTGCACTAAACCTGCACACGTCTGATCTCTGAAAACATGAACCATCTCCAACACGACACACACAGAACAGACTCATCATCATCAACATCCCTCTGTCACAGAGAGAACACTCATATTCCACTGAGTCGAGTCCTTTAGTCCGACAGAAGCTGAACCACATCAGCGCACAAGGAGAGAGCTGTTTTTTCAGAGCTTATAGTTTATGGAAATGAGCCATGTGGTTAAGTTTTGTTTCTGTAAAATGTAAACAAAAGTGTCAAAACTGCATTAAACACATTATAATCTCAAACTGGCTGATGTGGCTCTATAGTGGTTATGGTTTATATGTTGTAAAATTGAATTTATTTATGCAGATTAGTAATAGTAATAGTAATGATGATCATTTTCATATAAAATGTTAATGATTAATCGAAAGTTGATCGTTAAATTTCCCAACAATCGATTAAGAAAATTTTGGCCATCCCTAATAGCTGCCTTTACCTCATACTACATGATGTTAAGAGCATAAAATAAATCAAAATCAAGTAGAGGCCCTTTAAAGGTTCACTATGTAACTTTTCTGGTGGGTTATCTGATATTTGTTTGTGTCCATGGAGATAATGTTGTTTTTCCTGGAATGCTCCACTGTAAGGGACTTAATTTGTGTGCACAGTGCAGATTTTAATTAAAATGTATATAGATGATTATTAATTATGTTTTGTAGCCATAAATGTTCAGAAATAGATGAGATTCTTGTATTAGTTTTGCAGTTTATATTTTAGTCTTTTTAATTGTGAAATCCTCTGGACATGTTAAAAATGTGGACTCTGAACAAAACCCTGATATGTAAACACACATTTAATTTCTATTTGCAGTCATAATAACGTATTTTCCAAAATAGCTCAACCCTAATTGGTAGAGATTTTATTTGTCTCGTAGTCCTGGTCTCTAAGGGGGATTCTAGTGTGCATGTTTTTGGTGGTGAAGGAAACTCGAGCACCCAAAGGAAATGTGGAGAACAGGCCAACTCCACACTGAGGAAATTAAACCCTGGACCTTCTCGTTATGAGGCAGGAGTACAAACTTGTTAACAGATTTTCCCCCAAAGCTCATGTTTAAGTGTTTGTTTTATTGACAATTAAATAATTTAGAATCAACATTATTGAAACACCAGAAAAGGCGAGAAAAGCTGAACAAATGATGAAGGCAACTTTGAGTCATAGTTGATTAACAAAAATGTTGCTGCAAGAATGCATCTTAAAGGGCAATATTACTCTGTTTTCTGATCTTTTATAATGTTTTCTCATCACAAACAGACCTGGAGTTGTGTTTTGTTTCACTCACACATGTTTAACACACAAACCTGCATATTTAGTTCTTTTCCCAAACAGAAAAAAACTCTGTTCCACCTTGTGATGCCATATCGTGTCGTCAAAAGTCTCACAATAATATCGTGGGCTGTCATAATATATCGAATTACAAGTTTCTTTGCTTTAAATGCATGGTTTTATAGTAGCAACAGCTTATAAACATAGGGAACTACTAGGGATGTAACAATAACCAAAATATCGTGATATCGTATCGTTAAAAGTCTCACAATAATATCGTGGGCCTCACAATATATCAAATCACAAGTTTCTTTCCTTAAATTCATTGTTATGGTGCAGCAACGGCTAAAAAACAGAGGGAACTACATAGACCATGATCCTTTGCTCCATTTTAGTGCAGACTACATGAAGAAATAACAGTTGTAAGCACTTTTAAATCTTAGTTCTTTGGATTAATAATAATAATAATACATCGGACTTATATAGCGCTTTCTGGACACTCAACGACGCTTTACAAACAAATAAGAGTAACACTTTATCATGAAAATATCGTACTGTGAGATTTGGTTATCATTACATCCCTAGGAACTACATATCCCATGATTCATTTCAGTACAGACAACATGAAGAAATATGTTTTTCACTTGAATTCTTGCAATTATGATGGAGATAATTCACACCAAAATCTTGTCAAGGTATTTTAAAAGCAGAAATGTGTCCTGTCTACAATTATATCAGCCTCTTCAAAATATCGTACCGTGAGATGCATATCGTGATAATATGGTACCGAGAAAGTTGGATATCGTTACATCCCTACTGCATACACCTTCACTAGAATCATTTCAATGATTTCAGCCCTGGAATTGCCGATCTTTACTGAACCAAAAGTAAAACGTAGCAGTTTGAAAACATCATGACAAGGTGGAACATTTTGAGCTTTGGCTTTGCAGACAGACTGATAATAAAGGGTTACTAAAATTAAACAAAACAGAAATTCAAGTATGTTTTTGAGGCATTAACAACATTATAACATGGCTAAAAGCTCACAAGAGTTAATTTAATGTAATATAGGACCTTTTAAAGACCACAAATCACATTAATTTATCTTTTATATAGATATAAATATGCTTAAACATATCAAATGAAAAGCTTTATCATTTTACTTTGTGTTTTGACAATAAAACAGAAAGGGCATCTGGAGTAAAAATCTGCATTTTTCTGGTACTATCTTGGCTGGTCAGTGCTGTAGTCATCCATACGAGGTTGCCAGATAGAAAATGAAAGCAAATAATACCAAATAATACCAATATAAACTATTAATTGAGCTGAGTATTGGTTGAGGTCTTGTAAACAGATTTTCATGTCAGTTTTGACTTTTTGTGCTTAAATTTCCCACAGAATATTTTTTACTTTTCAATCAGTCACTCTTGTAAAACATAATGAATCCAATTATGACTGGATGGCTGAGTTTCGAACCTTTTACACCTGTCTCAAATCTAGTAATGTTCATTTTTATTCAGCAATCACAAGATCCAAGCGCTCATACACTTTTTATCAATACAAAATCAACTTGAAGCTATTTTAACAATATGCAACCAATAAAATGTTTTGAGCTGTTACAGTGTTTAACACATTTTGACGTTTTCTTCTTTTCCAGGTTTGGTGCAGATCCCCGTGAGCATGTACCAGACCGTAGTGACCAGTTTGGCGCAGGGTAATCGGCCGGTGCAGGTTGCCATGGCACCGGTGGCGACTCGGATCGACAACACTGTGACTCTGGACGGACAGGCTGTGGAGGTCGTGACCCTGGAGCAGTGATACAGGCTCCTAAAGTCCAGAACAGAGAGGGGAGGGGGAGAGAACGCTAGAGTGGACTTTCTGTAAACACGTGCTGCCATTTGCAATAGGTCTGGTTCACGTTTAGGCCTGTCACGATAAGACTGAAGTGCTATATGAGAATGATATTGAAACTAATTTTATACGACCGACACAATAACCCTATGTAACCGTCATAATGTCACCTGCGTGTTTCTGTGGGTATGTCATTGCTCTGTCTGAAATATTCCACAGTGTGACATTAAACAGATCTACTTATATTTATTCACTTACAGGTGGTTTTATAGCTCGAAAATACCTAGAAAAACAAGAATTCTGACTGTGAGCGGGGTTGCCTCTTCACAGATCTGACCTGTAACTTGGTCAGGTTTGGTCTCCATGAAGATAGAAAAGTGTACTGTATTTTTTGAGACTATAAGTGGCACCAGCCAAAAAATGTGTAATGAAGAAGAAAAAAACATATACAAGTCACACCGGACTATAAGTCGTGCTTTTTGGGGGAAATTAATTTTATAAATTCAGAGACCAGGAACTGACATTTCATCTTGAAAGACAAGTTATAGTAATAACAACAGAACAGAGAACGACAGACTGTTAACGTCACATATGAACAGTTCTTCAGATAAACTATAACATAAACAACAGAACAGAACAAGTTTAAGCAAACTCTCCATCTCACTCCAAATCACTAAATCCATTCAATTCTTCATCCTCGGTGTCACTTCTGTGCAACTCTGTGACCTCTGGAGGTAAACAGAGCGCCACTTCCTCTTCTGTGTAGCTGTCGTCAGACTCAGCATCAGTTCCAGTTAGAATTATTCTGGCCTTTCTGAATCCCGACAGGATGGTTTCGGTTGTCAGTGAAGTCCAGGCTTTGTCGATCCATCCAGTGACTTGAAGGAAAGTTGCACAATGCACCCTCCCGGTTGTTACAACATGGTTTCGGTTGTCCCTGAAGTCCCTTCCGGTTACCGTGAAGCTGTGTTCTCCATCCCGACTTTCCGCCAGTCCCTCACAAGTTCCTCGCTCACTCCAAACTTTCTTTCTGCTGCTCGATTTCCGTTTTCAGCTGCATATTTCTCTACTTGCAGCTTGTTATCTGCAAAATATGATTTTCTTTTTGGGGGCATTTGTGTTCAGTCTTCTCTGTTGTCTCACCCATGTCTATTTACATGGGTGACGTGGGCTTGTGGGCGGTGCACTGCACAGAATCAGAACCCTAACCCTAAAAAGAGGGTTTAAATAGTCCTAATAAGGTCATGGAGAGATCATTTAATTACTGAAACATGCATAGGTGACATTTTACAACCTTTGTAGGCATGTTTTTGAAGAGGAAGCAACGTTATAACATAGTAGAAAGCTCCAAAAAGCTTCTTTAAGTAGTTATTTTCTAACTATAATGAGTCAGAGGTTACTCCTTCAAACCTCTACAGCTCAAATCTTAATGTAATACAGAAAAACAATAATAATACCCCATGATAAATACAGACCCCTCCAAAATAATTGCTCCACCTATATATTTATTGAACGATAAATCGCTATAGTAATTATCGTGACAGGCCAACTCACGTTCAAAAACTCAAACGGAGGATTAGGGCCCCTATATGATTGCTCTGTGGGTGATGCGCATCTTCAGGCTTAAAGTCTGACTGACAATCTGTGTTTTTGGTCGATGCTACCACTTTTTAAGGCTATTAACTAATGACTGACCATGAGTTTATTTGTACTTATGACAAAAAAGAAGTTTCATGTGGAAAGGCCCGGTAATTACAGAGACACAATAGCTTCAAGTTGCCAATTCACACAAAACAAAAAAGTGTGAATAACTAAAAATGAATAATAATAGGGTAACACTTTATAATAACTACACCTTACTTAGCCTTAATAAACCATGAACAAAGACTTAATTAATAATGAACAAAGATTTAATTAATAATGATTCACGCTTAGTAAATGCTTAATAAAGCATAATTAGTCTTCACTTTAGAAAAGCTCTCAAAAAGACTTAACTAACAGATAACAGCTGCCTGAATTATCAGTGCATTGCATTATTAGTAAATCATTCTCTCATAGCTTACTAATGATTAATAAATGCTCAAATGGTTAGTTCATGAGTAATTAAGTATGAAATAATTATGAGTAACTATTTACAGCACAGGCAAATTAAGTGCAAGTGCTAATTAAGGTAGTAATTAAGTAGTTACTAAGCGTGAATCATTATTAATTAAGCCTTTGCTCATGCTTTATTATGGCTAAATAAGGTGTAGTTATTCTAAAGTGTTACCTAATAGTTGTTTCACTGATCCACTTTTTCCTGTTATGGGCGCCATTTTGAGGACTTTTGACCATTCTACACACTCCCTAGACAAAGCACAACTACAAAAGCCAAGCCGACTGAATTAACTTAACTCACACAAATCCTATTGCAAAGAAACGTGCAGCTTTGTTTACAACTTGAGCCCAGTCCAAACATGGCCGCCGCTGAGCTGGTTGCCCGTCGCTATGGCGATCGCGGAACAGTCCACTCTAGTTTTCAAATCCCTTCGGAGAAACACTATCTCTGGTTCCACCCACTGTTTTCCCAACCGCTGTGTACAATGTCACATAATGTTGGATATATTTTAACGTGTACATAAGCAGGAGAACGATCACTGCGTTGTTTACTATGTATAGAAGTTGATTTTGTCTTTTTATTATTTTGCTTTTTTTTATTTTAACTCTCTGTGAAGTTGAGCGTTAAGTATTTATTTCCTTCCCTTTACTTGGCTGCAAAGCAAACCAAAAATCCCAGGAGGAAAACCACCGCCATATTGTGAAGTAGTCCTTTGTGGTACACGTTTTTTTTGTTTGTTTGTTTGTTGTTGTTTTTTTTTTGTTTTTTTATATCGTGTTGACTACCACAATCACATTTCCTGCTTTGCATATGTGAAACCACTCCTTAAAGGGACACTACGTAACTTTTCTGGTATTGGCCGTCTTCCACCTGCTCGTCTCCATAAATATATTGTTGCTTTGCCCGGAATGTTCCGCAGTATGGCATTAAACGTGTATATCTTGCGTTTGTGTGATTTTACTGCTAATAACTGCCTTCACGATGGGATTCATACTGTAAGCGGGGTCGCCTCTCCGCAGATTTGACCTGTAATTTGACCTACTTGCCTCCATGGAGAGATGAGCTTAATGCCGTACTGTGGAACTTTCAAGGTGAAGCAGTAACATTTTAAAGGGCCCATATTATCCTTTTTTCTGATCTATGTTGTAATGTTTCCTCATCACAAACAGACCTGGAGTTGTGTTTTGTTTTATTCACACATGTTTAACACACAAACCCTGCGTATTTAGGCTGAGTTCTTCTCTCAAACGGAAAGCACTTTGTTCCACCTCGTGATGTCATGTGGTAATGGTGTGTTTTGAAACTCCACACACCGTCACTAGAATCAGTTGGATGATTTCAGTCCTGGAATTGCCAATCTCTACTGAACTAAAAGTAAAAGGAGATGTTAACTTGAAAATTCATGACGATACAAAGGTGGAACTGAGCATTTTGAGCTTTGGAGATGTAGGCAGACTATTAATAAAGGATTACCGTATTTTTTAACTATAAGTCACTCTGGAGTATAAGTCATACCAGCCAAAAAATGTGTAATGAAGAAGAAAAAAAGCATATATAAGTCGGACTTTTTGAGGGAACATTATTTTATAAAATCTGAGACCAGGAACTGACATTTCATCTTGAAAGGCAAGTTCTAGTAAAAACAACAGAACAGAGAACAACAGACTGTTAACGTCACATATGAACAGTTCTTCAGATAAACTATAACATAAACAACAGAACAGAACAAGTTTAACAAACTCTCCATCTCACTCCAAATCATTAAATCCATTAAATTCTTCATCTTCACGGTGTCACTTCTGAACAACTTCCACGACCTCTGGAGGTAAACAGAGCGCCTGTTTCCTTTTCTGTGTAGCTGTCGTCAGACTCAGCATCAGTTCCAGTTAGAATTATTCTGGCCTTTCCGAATCCCGACAGGATGGTTTCGGTGTCACTGAAGTCCAGGCTTTGTCCATCCATCCAGTGACTTCAAGGAAAGTTTCATGGTGCATCCTCCCGGTGTCACAAGTTTCTCGCTCACTTCAAACTTTCTTTCTGCTGCTCGATTACCATTTCCAGCTGCATATTTCACTACTTGCAGCTTGTAATCTGCAAAATATGACTTTCTTTTTGGGGGCATTTGTGTTCAGTCTTCTCAGTTGTCTTTATAAGTTAGTTTAAATTGGTACAGAAGTAATGGTGCGATCGACTGACATGATACAGACAGGACAGTGGCTCTTTCTGCAGGAGACATGCGCAGTAGAGTGAAGTGACAGTGGTACAGGAGGAACAGGAGCAGCAGATACTGACACACAAGACTAGAGCCTCTGTCAGTGTGAAAATTTTAATATATAAGTCGCAGGAAACACCCAAACCATGAACAAAATGCGACTTATTGTTCGAAAAATACTATACTCGAACTTGTGTGAATGAAACAAAACATAACTCCAGGTCTGTTTTTAAGGAGGTAACAACATTTACGAGATTTAATTTTGCGTAATATTGGACCTTTAAGCGAGTGGGGGTCCATTCACCAGAAAAGCTACGTAGTGAATCTTTAATTTCTTCAATGTACAGCAACTAAACTATTTTTGCATCTCTTTCCATTCTTCCCTTTACATTCATGAGACCCATTTTGTGAAATCTCAGGATCTCCACGTTTTTAACACAAATGATCTTTTGGCGACCATTTTCTACCAAATCTGAATAAGTGCATGGCGACGAGCACCGCTGATAATGTTCTTTTTAACATGAATTCTGAAACGCCACTTGCTTTGACCAGGTACAAGCAGTGATAGAATCTGTTGCCCATGTTCACTGGTGTGGGTCAAGTCGGCTTCTCGTAGTGCAGCTATATCCACTTCATCATTGTGTGTACTTCAAAATGACCAATAAACTGGCTGCTGTTCACAAAGCACGTTTTTGTGTTTTATCTTTTTAGAATTAATTATTTAGACATGACTAGAGGCACTTTTTGGAGTTTTTAAGCCTTGTCTTAGTGAAATTATATGTCAGTTTTGACAAATTTGAGTGGGAATGTTTTTTTGTCATGAAATTCTTCTGGAAAAATAGAGTTCATCTTAAATAGGGATACGCAAACACAGCTTTTTCAATTACAATACTGATACTGATACTTTGGTTTAGTCGGTAAAAGCCAGAGGTGGG